TAACAGTATCGTTTAGCGGTCTTGCCTCGACAATGGGCCCACCCTAAACAAAGTATTAGGATCTTTAAAACTCGCAGGTAACTAGTCCTCGGTGGACTGGCTGCACGTGCTTGTGGTTTCTTTGTGTCGATGTGCGCAAGGTGTTTAAGACGGCGCAAGGTGTCAAAAAAACCTAGGAATCTCTTGTTTAGGTCGTTAGGAGACGAGGGTCGCGTATGGTTGGTATTTGCATTCTTTCGATGCCGATGTGGTTGTCGAGAACTTGTCTAACCAATGGTTGAGAAGGATTATTTTGAAAGTATTTAATAAATGGATTGGATCTTGACGCAATATCGTCCTGCATAAATTGCAAGAAATGGGAGAAAAAATAGAAAATTGCTGTTACTTTGACTCTTACAAGACGAATATGGACGCACAGACTACATCAGGACTGTGCATCTTATTATAAAAGTTCCAAGCATAAAATTAGAATATACTAATTAATATAATATTATATTAATTATTATATTAATTATAATATATTACAATCAAGTTCTCTGGGGAAAATATTTTTGATACTATACGAAAGCTTCGCCCGCAAAAGGTTAATAATTCTAATAGATTGAAAATATATCACCTGTACCCATTTTCATTACAAATATATGAATTTCGTAGCTCGAGGACACCTCGTTTGCTACCCGAGACATCGAAGACTCGTGTTTATATTCGCAAAAACACGATTTAAATATAATTCTTCTCCATGTGCTTGTCAGACGATCTTCTTTCATAAATAAAAAAGAATCATCGACACCTAAGACGATGATATTAACCCTTTGTACTCGAAGCCGCTTCAACTGTGAATCTCAAACAATTTCTCTGGCTCATAGTATTTCCATTTTATATAACCTAATGCATTTTATACGTAGGAAATTGAATTTGGTGATAGATTCAACAGTTATCCTTCCAACAGTTCTTCAAATATGAACAAATTTGATTAATAAAATTGTTCTGAAACGTGACGAAACAATTTTTAATAGAAACATTAACCACAATATTTAAAAGAATATCTTGTCCCCACTTCTTGTTCTACTTCACGCAACAAAGAAAATTAAATTTCTTCAAACTTGCTTGTTGTTAATTTGAGTGCAAAGATTCGCATATGATCGACGCAACTTTTTTTACCATCTTGTTAGGATTAGAAAAGCAACTGCTTTGTTCTCGATCAAATTTGTCGGATCCCCCCCCCCCCCTAAAAAGACAAACGCTTTAAAGAAAATACGAAGCGATAGAATATTGGAAATAATAAGTCTAAAGAATTTGATAGACGATTTATATGCAAAGATGTGTTGCGACTTCTCGAGCTGCATAATCTCTTTCATGTACGTACGAAAAATTTCAACTATACATAAAGATGGTCCATTAGAAACGGCATTTCCTTCTGAACGGCTTGAAACTAGAAAACTTAGCGACTGGAAAATTCCGGAGTCTCATTGATCCTGGAACCGGAGGAGCTCGGTTGGACGGCGACGATCGAGGTATCGGAACGTCTTCGAGATTCCCAGGATTCGGGAGTACCAGTTTTCGGTAACCCCGAAAAATTTTGTCGCCGCGGATCAAAGCTTTCCTGATTGGTGGGCTCGGTGGCGGAGAGTTGATTGGTATCATTGTAGGGGGGAATTTTATGCAGCGGCCCATGCACCGCGACTCGAACTTGAATACCGAATCAGCCGGGGAAAGTGGAGAGGAAAGGGCGGCAGGGAGGGGTGGGCGAGCACGAAGGGGAGGCGAAGAGGGTTACCGGTTTCGTGGGCTACATAGCCCCGGTAACAGTAGAACGCTACCCCACCCTTCCAGCATTTTAATAATCTCCGGGGACCCCCTTCGGAGCAGCCCGGACAAGGATGCAGCGCAGCTGGACCCCTTTTTGCCTCGTGCCCGGTGTTAAGGGGGTACCGCCCTCCCACTGTGTTCATCTCCCGCCTTGTTCTCTTCCCCCGCAACCTTCTGCGGACAGATCGGGCTGGCTTTCATAGGCGACAATCACGCCGTAACCCGAAACGAATGCGTTTGCCGGGTCGGCCGGCCGCTCCGCTCCGGGCCGGGCCGGGCCGGGCCGGCCCGGACGGTGTCGAGCGGTGTCGAGCGTGAAGGGACGCGGTTGTCGCGAGATGCGGGTCCAGAGTTCCTACGTATTCGCCCGTGGTCCCCGCATTTTGCCATTTCGAGCATGCCTTTGTGCTCAGGTATTCTCGTTTCTCCTTCCAACGTCGCCTTCTTTTCCTCGCTTTCTTTCCCCCGCGTTCTTTCTTCACACGGATTATTCCCGTCCTCCTCCGTTCCTCGCTTCGACCCGATACTTCCGTCTCCGTCTCTTTCCCTCCCTTCCTCCGATCTCTCCGTCCCGTCGCTCGCCCCGTCCCTCTCTTTCTCTTTCTCCTCGAACGCAAAGTCACCCTCAAAGTCTGTCGTTGCCAGTGACGGGGAAGGAGAGGCGGATCGAGATTAAGGCAACTTCGGAGACTCGGCGACTGCGCCCGCGGCTTTGTGTGCGGAATACTTTGTTGGAATAGCTGAGAGCGCCTTGCCCCCGATCGGAAGCGCCGCGACGAAAGCGGCCGGGCTTCCGCGCGTTTTGCGCTGACCGAACCGAGACCTGGTCATTGAACGGATGTTCTTTATCTTCTGGTGCCGTCTTCGGCTGCAGATTAGCGATCGAGAGTTTGCTCTTGGCTTCGCTCGCTCGTTCGCTCGCTCGTGGAGGGATCGGCGGCGGCAGCGGGGCAGCAACGATGGCCGAATTAGAGGTCCGCAGATAAGGATCGTCTTTCGAAGAAGCAGCTATTTGTGAGCCGCGGAACGTATCGGACAAAGAACCTCCACGGCTTTCCTCCACGAAGATCTTATCTCGTAATTAACGTTGTCCCGGCGTTAATATCGTTTAGATACGAGAGACGCGCCTATCAATTCTCGACGCGAAGTTCGTCGCGCGTGGGCCGTACGCTCGCCGATCGTTCGTTCATTCCGACCGGGAAACGCGCGAAAGCAACCCTTTTGCGAAACAGACCGGAGTGTCGAAAGGAAAATGCGTGATGAAACCGAACCAGCAACGCCCCGGCCACAATCGCCTGGATCAATCTTGATCTGCGCTTAGTTGAACCGGCGCAGTTGTAGCGTTCCGGGAAAGGTTCCGCTGCCGCAAATCACCCGAACGATAAGTCTGTTTACGATAGTTACTTGCAGTGATTTGTACTTTGAAGGGCCAGCCAATTAGTAGCGACAGAGATGGTACGTAAATCAGCTTAAACAAGGGAGCCGCGGCACCGCACGGGTCTCTATCAAACTAGAAACGAACGAGCGTACCCTTAATAACGTACCGATCCCTTTTAATCATTCACTTCGTGAATATTTCGAAGCGTTTTAACCGAGAGGAACGAACGTCCGCGCGGCCGTGTGTACCGCGCCAAATGTCGCATCCTAATTAGAAATCGGATTGAAATATAATCAAACTTCGCTCGATCGAGAGGACAGTTCTCGAGCGTCGCTAAATTCGAAGCGAGACCAGCTGCCGCCAATACGGGACGAATCGGGCTGGAACGGGTGCCCGCTCCTTTCCCAGCGTTTTGGTTTCCAGAAAATCTCTGGAACCGATTCGCGCCATTATCGTGAAATCCAATTTCTCTGGAAGCAATTTCCACCTCGGCTGCCGGCTTCCCGAAACTCATCCCAACTGCTGGAGCGGCGAAAAAATTCGTGAACAAGGCGGCCTGTCGTTGTCGTGCCGGTGTTCCATCCGCGCCCGTTACATCCCCGCGGTCACATCAGTCCCTCTCGCTTTCTCTCTCTTTCTCTCTCTCCCTCTCTCTTTCCCACTTTTTCTCGCTCTTTCTCTCGCGCTCTCTCCCGCTCTCTCTCTCTCGCTCTCTTTCCCCGTTCCCTCGGCGTCCCACTCGTCGTTCTCCTCTCAGCCCCTTTTTTCCACTCTTTTTCTTTCTCCCTCGTACTTTCGGGCCTCCGTTGAGTTCGTCGGTGTCTGAAAAGTTCCGGTAGGCAGGCGGACCTACGATATGCTACCGCTCCGCTCCGGTGTGGGCGCGCAAGCGAGCGAGCGAGTAAAAGAGCGAAAGAGCGAACAAGCGAACGGGCGAACGAGCGAGCCAGCGAGCGCGCCCGTGCCCGAGCCCGCGCCAGCGCCCGCTCTCGTTGAACAGGAACCGCCGACAGGATCGAAGAAGGACAGCGGTGAAACGAAGAGGACGGCGCGAGAACGGCGCAACGAGGAGTGACGGAGGGTCGGAGAGAGCGAGGCGAACGAAACGACGAGGATGCAACGACAAAGAGAAGCCGACGCTAGGAGAAAGAGACCGAGGGAGCGGTGCACACGGTCTGCCGGCGGGACAGAGAGGTCGGTGGTCCGCGCTAGCGACAGAGACGAAAGGCGAGAATCCGAGAGAAGGAGAAGAAACGTGGAGAAAAAGAGAGGCGGGATCGTGCGCGCTTGCGGAAGGGAGCATCGGCTGAAGCGCGAGGCGAGGCGAGGAGAGGGTACCGTTGAGTTGCGGAACGAGAAGAGGGGCGGCAGGGGTAGCGGCAGCGGCAGCGGCGGTGGCAGCGGCAGCGGCAGCGGCGGCATGGAACGAGAGGGAACGGGACGTGGTGCGAGAGAGAGCCACGCCGAAAGACGAGTTGCTCGAGGGTGACGAGGATGGAGCGTGGCGGCCCGACGAAGACGGCAAAGTCAGACTAACGCGGCCGCCCGAGCGAGACCGAATCGAGCCGAGGGCAGACAGTGCCGTTGGCGTAGTAACGTGCCATGGCTCGTACACGCCGAGGCTGCCTTGCTCGCTCGCCTGCCTGTCTGCCTGCCTGCCTGCCCGCCCGCCTGCCTGACTCACTGTCCGTGTGAGCGCGGCCCTGTGTGCGACCGCTCTCTGCGTGGCGCGTCCGCCGAGCCTCTGTGTGAGGGGCGACGCGGCTGTGTGAGTCCGTACGTGGATGGGGGTCCCGGCCCGGCTCTCGGCCCGTCCCGTCCCGTAGAGTATCGCACCGCTCGCCACCCGCTATCCACAGCAGTTTCAGCCAGCCGCCCGCCTGCCAGTGTCCCACCGCACGCCGAACCGTTTGCACTCAGAAGCGATCAGGGAGCCCTTCTCTCCCTCGACTTCCCCCTTCGAGAGAGAGACGCGCGCGCGCTCTTCCACCCCGGCGAGTCGCGCATCGCGTACCCGCTGCTATACACCGCCTCTATATCCGTTTCTCCCTCGCTCCTTTGCTCCTTTACTTCTTTGCTCCCTCGCCTTCGTTACGCACGCTATTTCTCTTCATTTTTCTCGACGGGACGGTCGTGCCGTCTTTGTCCCGCTTTCCGCTCCGTCCGATCATCGTCGTCTTCTTTTCCTTCCCTCTAGTATTTCCCTTCGTTCGCCCTTCTCGTTCTCCTCTTCCACCACTTCTTCTTCCTCTCCTCCCGCCTCGGCTTCTACTTGTCCCTACTCTTTTCGTCCCATCCTTGTGCTCCTTCTATTTTCCGTCGTCAGTCATACTCGGAACGCACGAGCACCGGCTATCGTTCTCTTCGTCCTCGTCCCCCTCTGTATATCCCTCTCTATCCGTCGGCCGCCGTTCGGCGTGTTTAACCTCCCGCCGTCCCACCACTCTGCCCCTCCACTGCTGACACTCGGCTTCTGTCTCCGTTCGGAGCACGAGCGGCCCATTCGTACCGTCTCGTTCGCTCGGCTCCTTTCGTTCCGTGCCGGCCGTGTCCCTCTTTCTCGCTCCTGAGAGTAGCGCCGGTGTGTACTCCCGTGCTGTCACCTGATCGCGGGACGCTTTTCGCGGGTGAGATACCTCTCGGCCACCGAGTCAACCGAGTCTGCCGCCACCGCCGCCGTCGCTCGGTTTTCCGCCGCCTCCGCGTCCCGCCGCCGTTGTCGCCGCCGCCACTGCCGCTCTGCCGCCGCCGCCGTCGCCGTCGCCGTCGCCGCCGCCGCCGCCACCGCCACCGCCACCGCCGACGGCCTCTTCCTTCGGCATCTGCTCCTACTCTCCTCCTTCTTCCTCTTTCTTCGTTCGTAGCGCGCGCGCTCTCCTTTTCCTTTCCGTCTCGCGCGGACACGTCGTGCTGCTCTCTTCCTATACTCGGCTCGTTGCCGCCGCGCGACGTCGAACGTGCGCGCGGCTAGCTGGTGGTTTCCGAGAGGGAACGAAAAGAACCACACGAAGAAAAAGAAAAGAAAAGGGAAAAACAGAAAACGGTGAGAAAGACCGACGGACCCGACGCAGCTACGAGAGAAAGAGAACCGTCCGACCGAAACAGAGACGGAGTCAAAGAGAGAGAGAGAGAGAACGCAGAGAGAGAGAGAGAGAGAGAAACGTCGAGGGATACAGAGAGCGACAGACAGAGGGAAAGAGAGAGAGAGACAGAGAGAGAGAGAGAGAGTGAGAGAGCGGTAGAGAGAGAGAGAAGTGCGCGCTACCGACATCGTCCAACCGCGACTCGCTTGCCCGATCTCTCGCCTCTTCTTCCTCCTTTCACGGATCTTCGCCGGTGCACGTCTGAAGCCGACTGGAGAGGGAGGTGACACTTTCGGAACGTGGACATGCGGCACGCACGGATCGTCACGCTGGATACGTGAGGATTCAGAATTCTCCTGGCTACCGTGATCTGCTACAGGTCGGTGATAGTATCTGTGTGACTCCGCGAAAATCAGTGATTCATTCTATTGTCTTTTCGCGCTTCGTGTGATCGTTATTGTTGATATCGTTGTTGTTGTTGTTGTTATTGTTGTTGTTGCTGTTGGTTGATGTTGTTGTTGCTGTTGTTGGTTGTTGTTGTTTCATTCTTTATTGTTCATCCGACAACGGTCGGTCGACAATTTCAATTCGCGTTTTAGTGAACGATAATCGGACCCGGTCTCTCGCAAGATCGCCCCGACGACGACAGATGCAAACAGTGTGAGTGTGTTTCTTTCTCCCTCTTGTTTTTAATCGTCTCCGTACCGTTCCGCAAGCGTAACCGACGTCCCGCCGATAACTCCGCCGTGATTTCAAAATACGGCGGTAATTGTACGTGCGTTACTACACCGCGGCTGCGCTTTTTTCCTTGCGTTTTACGGGCCGTTACAGCTCACGGAATCGTCTCGTGCCGCGGCGTTCTACGAGCGTCCGGTTGAACGCCGACGTTACACTTTTCCGTTTCCCCCCCGTTTCCGAATTTCATTCTCGTTACTCGCCGGTCGTCGCGTTCGACGGGATCTCGTTTGCTTGTTTGCTCGCTTTCCTTCGAANTACGTGCGTTACTACACCGCGGCTGCGCTTTTTTCCTTGCGTTTTACGGGCCGTTACAGCTCACGGAATCGTCTCGTGCCGCGGCGTTCTACGAGCGTCCGGTTGAACGCCGACGTTACACTTTTCCGTTTCCCCCCCGTTTCCGAATTTCATTCTCGTTACTCGCCGGTCGTCGCGTTCGACGGGATCTCGTTTGCTTGTTTGCTCGCTTTCCTTCGAANGATTCCCGCCGTGGAAACCGGACGAAAAAAAAAAGTGTCACGGGACGCCGGGAAAGTGTTCGATTGACGCGTCGCTGACAGGACGCTGTCGCGAGTGTTACGCTTTCACGAGCCGAACCGTGGCTGTCAACGCAAGCCGATTTTGGACGAAGCGGCTCGCTCGAGCCTCGGCAGCCGGCGCGTTATCGTGTGGAAATCGTGGAATTCTCTTTGTGGTATTCAGTGACAGCAGTGACGACGTCCCGATCCGAGCGCCGACGTTTCGATCGATCGTCGGTTTTCGGTGCCCGTGATCGACGGGCAAACTTTTTCCGAAGGGTTCCTTCTCATCGGTCCACCGGTCGCCGTACCCGGTAAAAGATTTTTCTTTCGCAATTATCTAACCGCGCACGTTCCTCGCGCCAATCGGATTCCCGTGTTCCCCTGATATTTAATTCGCCGGCTTTTCCGGCGAGATCGGGTCCGAGGGCAAGATCGTCTCCGGCGAGGGAAACACATCGGACGACACGCGAGTCTCGCGCGCGTATTCGGGACCGTTTTGTGCGAAGAATTGTTCCCGGTGTGATTTTTCCCGGCGGTCCCGGGGACGGTGGAAAAATAAATGTAAAAAGTTGGAAATCGAAGGCAGGGAAACGCTCTGGGAGTTGTAGCGGTGTCGGCGGAGATAGCGGCATCCGTTTCGGTGCCCGTTGCGGGGCGGTCGCCACACCCGCCCGTTTGGGAATTCAACTTACTGCCACTCGGGACCGAAGTCTTCGACGTTTTCTCCTCGGTCTAACGGGTATCACGAAAGGCGGCTGTTTGCGGCGGATTAGATCCGACTGCCGCGGAAATTGCCGCGTCGCTTTTCTGTTCCCGGTGCCGTTAGACATCCGACAATTCCTCGCAGAATTAACAATTCCGATCGCTGCAAAAACTCTCGACGGCCGGGTTTCTCTCCGATCGGAAAATCCTGGATGGATTCGACGCGCCACCGGAATTTTTTTATCGATAATAGCTCCGCAGGTTTGAATCGCGGAGATCCGCCCGCCCCGATCGTTATAAATCGGCGGGCACGTCTCGGTGCTGCGTCAATCCTTCGATCGCTCTTCCCGCTTATATTTTCCGGCGTTTCATTTCTGCGACGAAACTTTTGCCGATTTTTCAGTTCGTCGAGGTTGCTTCGAAATTTGCTTATCGATCGTTTCGCGGACAATCGAAAGTGTACAGTTTTGGAATTCGAACGTTTGTTGTTTCGTGCATGCNTCGCGTTTTAGTGAACGATAATCGGACCCGGTCTCTCGCAAGATCGCCCCGACGACGACAGATGCAAACAGTGTGAGTGTGTTTCTTTCTCCCTCTTGTTTTTAATCGTCTCCGTACCGTTCCGCAAGCGTAACCGACGTCCCGCCGATAACTCCGCCGTGATTTCAAAATACGGCGGTAATTGTACGTGCGTTACTACACCGCGGCTGCGCTTTTTTCCTTGCGTTTTACGGGCCGTTACAGCTCACGGAATCGTCTCGTGCCGCGGCGTTCTACGAGCGTCCGGTTGAACGCCGACGTTACACTTTTCCGTTTCCCCCCCGTTTCCGAATTTCATTCTCGTTACTCGCCGGTCGTCGCGTTCGACGGGATCTCGTTTGCTTGTTTGCTCGCTTTCCTTCGAA